GATCCGTCTATTTCGCTAAGTCGCATTTATCTCATATTTCTCTCTGTTCAAATGCCAAAATCTCCCCAGTTTTCACTTTCCATAAAAAACAAGGGCATTCGGCGGTATTAATCCGAATAGTTATGGGTTGTTAGTGGTTACTTCCCCTGAAAACAACTTACAGGGGAAGATAATGCCGGTTCCCCTTGTGAAAATTGCCAAATATATAAATTCTATTTGAAAAATACCAAAAATTATTGGAAAAAACAACAGTTGAAAAAATACTAATATTATTCCAATATTATTATCATAATAGTTCTCCATTTTTTGGAATTTCTATTTGAAGAATACCAAAAATTACTGGAAAAAAAAACAACACAAATTTAAATGAAATCAAGAAAAGCATATTATACGAAGAGGAATTTAAAAAAAAAAAAACTTGAAACTGGCAGAACCTCGAAGACCGCAAGTTCTTGATCGGCCATTTCAAGATTTTTTTTGAGATTATTGCGTTCCATTCGTGCCGCATTGATGTTCAATTCCCAGTCATCATGCGCCGCTTTCACACGATCATAATTCCGTCTAGCACGGCACTGCTGGAAATTAAAATACGTAAACCGCGAAATGATTGAATTTCTTTTTTGCTTTGATTTTTAATTGATTTTTTAATTTCTAATTTATAATAATTTTTGATTTTTAATTTATAATAAAATTTTTTTACCTGTTCGGCGATCGATTCAACCCTTAGCAAATTTTCAATCTGATTGTGCAAACGGTCCGATTCATTTTTCTAAAATAAAAAAAATTAATATCAGACTTTTTCGATTAAAATGTTTTCTTTCCGAAGCATCTACAATGTTCAGGCGAAGTGAAGCGAGTCAGAGGAGAGTAGGAAAACAAAAAGCTTTGATTTTTGAAACAAAATCGCCAATCAGAGGAAGTTCTGCCAAAATTTTGGGTCATAAAAAACACAAAGTGTTTTTTATGACCCAAAATGACGCTCCCCTTCCCCTCTCCTCACAGCCCTTGCGCCCCCTCCTCTACTTTCCTCGTGAATTCTGGCAGATGACTACTTTCGCCCAAGATTAAAAATCAAAAAAAAATTTAGTTGCCCTACATTGGTCGTAAACTGCTCGACAACTGCGTCTAGAAAGAGGGAAAAAAGGAGAAAAAACAAACACGCTGGAAAAAATGCATAACAAAATTTCCTCAAAATAATTTTGTCAAAAAACGCAATAATTTGAAAAAAAAAAAGAAATAAAATTGATCTCTAATGTCAGCTTCGTAAAAAAAAAAATGAAAAAACGAAGTACTATCCTAAAAAATGCGAATTTTTTTCAGAAAGCCAGAAA